CCTCCGCGGGCAGCAGCCCGTCGCGCCGCTCCTCCGCTCGCAGCGCCCGGGCAAAGAGCCGGCAGCGGGGAGACGTGAACGAAGATGAGACTTCTGCTGCTGGTGACGTCCTGCCACTTCCTTCCTTATTTTCGTGTTCTGCCCTCGTTTATCACATCTGCTTTTGCCCTTCTGTGCCTTTTGCTTGGTGACCAGAAGCAGAATCTCTGGGTTTATTGGTGAGGAACAAATGACCATATCCGCCCAAGAGGCTCCTGCCCTTGCACGCGTGTGGCACAGGTGTCGAGGCTGTCACCCTGTGCCGTGACGGGTCCCTTCAGAGCCATGACCTAGAGCGTTTCCAGAAATCTGCGTGTCTGCCCCCAATTACGTGTGCGTGATAGCTCTGTGTTTCGGATAACGATAGTCGTCGTTAGGTGGTTGATTGTTAATTATGGGAAGGCTGCCCTTAGGCTGCCCTTAGGTGGAAGGGCGCGTGCTTGGTCGCGCGGTCCTGTGCGCGGAGACCCGGGGCTCCCCTCTGCAGCCCAAGCTGCACATGTGAAAACCACATCGTTTCCTTGCGTTTTGTGTGCTCTGCACAGGGAAGAACAGCTGGGGATTGCAATCTGCTGGACAACTACTACTGCTAGTAGTACTACTAGCTACTACTGCTGGGGGGGTCATGGAGGGGAGAAGGGAGAGCCGTGAGCAGCTCTCGTGCTGGCCGTGCGATGCGTTTGCTCGTGCCGGCCGGGCGGGCGCCCCTGGCCCCCGCAATGGGGGTTTCCCTTCCCTTGGTGCCTCTCGGAGCAGCGTCGCGGGTGGCTGCGGCGCTGGCAGCTGCCCGGGCACCTTGTGGCTCCTGGCTTGGTTCCTGAGACCAGAGAAATCTGTTCATCCCCCCTGGCAAATACAATGCTGAGAAACAGAAGAGCTACTGCTAACGTCCTGCTTGTGTATTAAAGGGTCACTTTATTTTCCACCAAAGCGCCAAACTGGGCAGACGCGCGCTGTCACGCTCCTGTGCCCCGGCCCTTGGAGCGCCGCTGCGCCCGGGTCGTGTCGTGTCCCAGTGCTGCCGT